GGACCCCCATGTCTGACCCAGGATAGCCCAGGGGGACCCCCATGTCTGACCCAGGATAGCCCAGGGGGACCCCCATGTCTGACCCAGGATAGCCCAGGGGGACTGTCCCAGTTATGACTATTGGAATGCTGGGGTGGCTTGTGACACTGAAGACCCCCTTGTCTGCAGGTACTCCCAGACAGAGATGGGAGGGGGCAGTGGGGGTTGTATTGGGGTGGCCTGCGTGGTGGGGGGGCTTAATTACTGCAGAAGAACAGGCTGCTGTGCTTTCGGGGGCAGCGGTGTGCATGCGAATGATCTCACGCAGGAAACTGAATGTGGGTGTTTCTGAGGGTGGGGTTTTAATGACTTCTGGGGGGGAGGGGCTGGGCTTTGAGGAACGCCCAGCGTCGGTGTGGAGCAAGGGTTTGATAACCACAATGACAGCTGGTCGAAGGCGGAGCTTTAAGGTGCTTAACTACAGTTTATTTACCTTCACACTCCTTACAGTCTCACAACAAATGTTATTTTCTGTGCTTATTCTACAAACACATCAGTGTTTATGTGTACTGTAGAGATTCTGTGTGTAAAATGTTAATATTGAAGACATACGTGCTTTTTGAGATTTAAATGGTAACTGTTAGAGGAGTTTTGTCATTCCTGCAAGCCAGTATCTGTACCCTTCAAATCAATCATTATTTCTATGTGCATGTCTTACAGTAATGGAAGGAAGTACGTTTTAAAATAAAAGCATTGTCCCAGGAAGTGAAAAGCATGCCAATCCTGCTTTCTGTAAATAGTCTCCCATTTTTCATTTTAGCCAATTTCAGTGGTAAACAGCCTCAGAAATGTTTTAGAATTGAGGCTCAGCGCACCATCAAAATGAGATTATTTGGGAGTAATTGTCCCTGACAGTCCTATTTGCAAGGTTCCACTACATAAATCACAGAAGAAACACGGTCAAAATTAATTGAAATTTTGCCCCCGTTTAAAGCCGACGCTAATTAAAAAAAGGTATTTTTTCGTCCTGACTGCGCTGAGTTGCCGCGGCGAAGTCAGTCTAAATAAAGGCGTCAGAAATGCGGTGTCTGCTTTGCGGCGCTGTGGGCTGCATGGGTGCACCTCGCTGTCCTCCTTTCTTATTTGGTTCTGCTCCTCCTGCTGGGGGCCACATGACTGGGGGCCACATGACTGGGGGCCACACTGTGGTGACCTGAAGTCCCTTCCTCGTGTTGGTTTCCCTTTTCCCAGCATGGTCACTAGGCCGGTGTTTTTCACGTGCCATCCCGGGTCATCGGCACACGGTGACGGCCCCCCCTGCTGGTTGTTCTGGGCGTGTGCAGGTGCTCTCCGCAGCGCCGGCCGTGTGGTGTCTGGTCGGCCCCTGCGAGCTGACGTGGGTCGGAATCGCGTGACAGCGGGTTATCGGTGGGCCGTACGCCGCACTGCTTTTGTGTGAAGAGCACGTGTGAGGTATATCAGCAGCGTGACGGCCTGACTCACCGCTCTCCTGGAAGCTTCTGGACAGACGCTCCTCGGGGAGGGATGCAGCCTCCTGTTTCAACTGTTTTCATGTCTGATGGTGATGCTTCGCTGCTGTCTTTCAAGCCCATTCTGCCGCTGGGACTAAGAGACGTTAACGATTGAAGGGCGTGTTCATATCAGGGCCGCAAACAAGCCGCAAGGCCATGGAGGTCGGGACGAGGACTAAACAGGCAGTTTCCCAGTCAGATATCCACGTCTGGATGGCACCTCTAACAAGCGTATTTTCATTCTGGTACTCCCAGCCACACTTCTTCTGGTGTTTTTCAGGCCCGGAAGCTCGTTAGCGTGCCGGGGGCACACTGTACCTAATTGCTGGTACCAGGTGTCCCGCTGTGGTGTCTGGACACCTCCCACTTCACCACGCCATCCTTTTATTTACTATTTTTAAACAGGAACTGTACGGACATCGTTATGCAGAGGGATTCATCGTCATTCTCTGCTGTGTTGTTCCTGTGAGTCATGCTGACTCCCATTAATGAATGGGAAGCCCCCCCCCCCCCCCCCCCCCCCCACCCAGACCTACGTAGCACATACTCTGAGGCTGCTCTCGCCTTCTCTGCCTGCCCGCCCCTCTGCCCTGCTCACATCTCTCCCACAGATGGAGCCGTCGACCCACCGTCCAAAGTCGAGTGGGTAATCACCTTCAGATGACAAAAACACGCGGAGCGTCGGGGACGATGGAAAACCGGATCGTATCTGGGAGTTTCCATCCTCGTCTGCAGCTGGGGTGTATAAAGGTCACACTGGACAGGACGCGGAGCGGAGACTCTGAACTGGCCCTCCAGCACCCCCCACTCTATGCTGTGACATATCGCAGCAGACTGGGGATTTAATGAGTGTGAGCGCAAGCTGTGTGGTGCGGGTCACGTTATGGTACTGCACCGTTACCTTATAAGGATGTGTGGGGTGACAATGACAGACTTGACAGGGGCTTCCCGGTCATGTCGGCGCTCCAGTTAAACTGAGGCTTGTCACTGGCTCTGTGTCTTGGGCTTCCGGTCATTCTCAGCTGGTTCGAATGGGGACTCTGCTCTGATACCTGTGGCACTTGATGTCTGCAAGTGCTTTGGAGGTTCAGCTTCGGCTAAAATGGGGTCGGCGGTGCAGAGAACTGAAAGGAGCCTAGATTTACTAGAACTGAAATCCAGCGTTTTTTTATATGACACATTAAATGGGTGGAATGTGCCAGGATGATGTCATCGTAACCGTTTTATGAATGGAAAATGGGAGAATGGGCTGGAATTAGGTGTGGTACCTGGCTCAGTGGGTTAGGCTGCTGTGCATGTCATTGGAAGGTTGTTGGTTCAAATCCAATTGTTGGTTGAGTGATGTCACTGTTAGGTACTTGAGTAAAGACCTGAACCCCCAATTGCCCCAAGGACTGTCTGACCTGACTCCCCCCACCCCAAAGAAAAAAAAAATCTATGTGAACTTTGAATAAAGTGTCTGTGAAATTAATGAAAAATTAGGTCTTTTGGGGTTATGAGTAAGATCCCAGTTTGGGGGGGTGAATTAATGACCGCTTTGTTTTCCCACGTGTCTGTAGGATGGAAGAGACGGTGAGGACACTGCTGCAGAACCAAGGAGTGCTGGACCACACGGCAGTGAACACTGTGGACATCATCAAGGCCTACAAGGTAAGAGGGCCTCTCTGCTACGAAGGGCTTCTCCTACTGCATTACTCATGACTGCCTCCTAGGTTTATAGGTGCTATTTTCCAGGCGCGCCCTCAGGAATATAAAGTGCCTGTTTTCTTTAAGGGATCAGACACTGGGTTTTTTGTTTTGTTCATTCTCTCTGCAGAATCTGCTGTGAACCATGATTTTGAGCCAATTAGTTGGTCACACTGATGTCCGTGATCAGTTGAGGTTTATGGTTTTCTTCACGGTTATTCTCTCCTGGGGTCCGTAACTCTCACCTCCTATTGATGAGTCCAGCCCCCAATCCGCCATGCTCTTCTGGAGCGGAATCTCACTTTCAACACTGTGTATGTGTCCAGGAGAAATGCAGAATTATCACCTCTGAGGACTGGAGGATATAAATTAGCCTGGTTTCTGCCCAAAACTCCAGATGAAGTGATTTTCAATCTGAACAGTCACAAGGAGTAGAGAACGGCTGAAGTCTAACTGGTTTTCAGCACCCCAGACTGGAACGTTAAAATGAAGCCCAACATGAATCAACCAGAGACAGCACGATGGTGCAGTGGTTAGCACTGTTACCTCGTCGCTGTGTAGTTTCCTCCCAGTTCTCCAGTTTGCCCCCACAGTATAAAAACATGCTGAGGTTAGTTGGAGTTACCAAGTTGCCCATAGGTGTGAGTGTGAGTGAATGAAGTGTGAGTGTGAGTGAATGAGGTGTGAGTGAATGGTGTGTGAGTGTGAGTGAATAGGGTGTGAGTGTGAGTGAAAGGCGTGTGAGTGAATGTGGTGTGAGTGAATGAAGTGTGAGTGTGAGTGAATGGGGTCTGAGTGTGAGTGAATGATGTGTGAGTGTGAGTGAATGACGTGTGAGTGTGAGTGAATGGGTGTGAGTGTGAGTGAATGGGTGTGAGTGTGAGTGAATGGGGTGTGAGTGTGAGTGAATGGTGTGTGAGTGTGAGTGAATGTGGTGTGAGTGTGAGTGAATGGTGTGTGAGTGTGAGTGAATGTGGTGTGAGAGTGCTGGTATAGCGTGTGAGTATGCTCTGTGATGGGTTGGCGCCCCATCCTGGGCTGTTCTCTGCCTTGTGCCTGTAGGTTCCGGACCCCCCACAACCCTCGATAGGACAGGCAGTTTCAGAAAATGGATGGATGGGTGGATGAATCAACCAGTTGATTCAATGTAAGGAAAAAAGCATAGAGCACAGAGGCAGGCATGTTTGTGGATTGTTAGGACCCTACGACCCGCTGTTCACTACGCGGTTAATGATACAGACTTAAAATATGACCTGAGAGTCTGTTATCTAGTCCACCATCAAACTAATTGAAGCCGCTATTTCACTCTCAACCCAAATGCAAACAGCGGCACGGGTTTCTATGGTAACAGTGCCCGCCACATCCCCCCAAAGAGTGTTTTTGTTTTATTTTTGCTACAGACGGTGGGTGTGAGTGTGCATGTAGGGCTTGCCGTGACACACGGGCCAACAGAGGCACTGTTATTAAGTAAAATAAACGGAAGTCTGCCGTTAATCACCTACTGAGTCTGATGAAGAAGCAGCATATCGGTTAATTAGGCTAATGATGAAGGGCAGGCTCATGTACTGCTGCCCTGTTCCTGAGCCTCGCGACGAGCTGCACTTTGCAGCCCACAGGTACGCCAGGCATCCCCGCTGAGGTCACTCAGATGGATAAGGTGTCACTGTTCCTGTGTGGCCTGCTGACAGGCCCTTTATAAACCCCTCAGCCGTGCATAGCTGCATAATGCATTTCCAGGCTGTACTGAGGAATACCTCTATCGAGCAGTGCATTAATCCTGAGTTTACCGTCATACTCGCCAGCACAGGTACTGGGAGAAATGTTGCTTATTCAAATCTATAATGGGCTATGTTTCTGTACATAGAAATTAATGCACTGAATTCCTAATGCATATTTGATTAGCAGAAATATCACAGAGCCTTTTAAAACAGCCCCTGGATATAACTGCAGTCCACGAGTGTCACCGTCGGCTCACACGCGTGTGGGTGTGCGCTGGCTGATAGCCATAATTACTGAAATGACGGCTTTCAGGCAAGAAAATGCCTGGGCATTAATCAGCTTGAGTGGATTTTGGTGAGCTGTGGGTTCAGCTTGGGGGGGGGGGGGTTCTATGACGGCACCGATCCACGCATATGGGGGCACTGGCACGTCAGCAATCCCACACACACGCAGGCGCCATGCAGGCCGTGTGTTTCGGTACATGATGCTGTGTCTCCTGGTGACTGAAATATGTCGACAATCTTTTCTGTTTCTTTGCCCTAGAGATCACTGTGGTGCAGTGTATGTCTTTCTCTCTCTCTGTCTTCCTCTCTGTCTCTGCCTCTCTCTTTCACTCTCCCTGTCTCTATCTTTCTTTGCCTTCTTTTCTCTTTCTTTCTCTGTCTCTCTCCTCCTGTTCTCTCTCTGTCTCCTCTTCTGTCTCCTTCTCTGTCCCTCCACCTCTGTCTTTCTCTTTCTTCCTCTTTCCCTGTTTATGCCTCTCTGTCTTTCTCTGTCTCCCCTTTGTCCCTCTCCCTTACTTTGTGTGGCTCCCTCCCTCTCCCTCTGTCTCTCAGGCTCTCTTCCTCCACCCTAGTCCCTCGGAGCTGTGAGACAGGGCCGGGGTTACATACAGAGACACCCCCCCCCTCCTTCTCAGGCAGAGACGCTTTGGCTGAACAGGGGAAATAACTGCACAGAAGGAGATTAGTGCTCTTGGATTTGGCACCAAACTCGTATCCATGTTGTAGGGGACAAACAAAAGCACTGCAGTTTGAACACTTTGTGGAGAGCGAGTGGCAGTTGGAGCTAATTAGTACGAATAGCTCTGGACTGTCCCTCTCGAGATGGTCGGCCCTCAGCACAGGATGCTGTAAATGACCCGTGGCGTCTAAGTTGTGGAGGAAGGCATTGTTTTTACACTTTAAGGCAAATCATATGATGTCTAATATCAAGAGAGGCTTCCTTCATTGTGCCTGATGTGGTTCTATGAGGTTCAGCTCATCCATCATCGTTGCTGGTCGGGGGTGACGCGTTACTATGAAGGCCATCATCAGAGTTGACGGCCAGCCATCTGCCTGCATACAAGAGGAAGCTCGTGGTGACGGAGCCTCCGAACTCGGCCGGGAAAGCCCCCAGCTCCTGTCTGTGGTCCAGCTCTGCCAGTGTCCCAGCCTGTCCTTGTCCTCTCCCAACCTGTTCATCTGCTAAGTGTCCTATCTGCCAGCTGTCCTAATATGGTGGCCATATGGACCTGCACAATGTACCGTAACCTTTGACCCCTCAGAAGATAATCTGATTGGCTGTAATTGCTGTATTTTCCAAATTGTCCTTAGCAGTTTTCATCTCGACTGTGGTATCACCTGTACAGATGATCATGTGGAGCATATGTCTGATAGAGCACCTTTCCAAATTGCACATTAAATCTGCATCTTCTGGCTTCTATGGCTTTGTCTTGCCGCTTGCTTTGAATGGCTCTAATCCCCACCCATGTAACGGCTATACTTAGCATCTGCATGGCAACCGCGGTGGGCTTGCTGGCAATTTGCTACCTTTTGAACAGCGTCCGTGTCCGTCTGCTCATTCTGCGACAAGTAGGCGTGAACGCGCTGCCTTATGAGCGCGTTGTCGGTACCGGCTGGCGAATGTGGTGCCGATGAACGACAGGTTGAATGCTTGCATGCAGCCCGTAACCGGCAGCAGCAGGGAACCGTCGTCTGCCGATCGCCACGCAGCCTCGCAGATCGCTATCCTTCGGCCGCGGTGTTTTGAGATCTTGATTAGCCTCAGTGGGTCTGTGCTTTTGGTCCGATGAAAGCTCAATTCAGTTTATAAATGTCATTTTTTTAAACTCTCCCAGAAACTCTTTTGTTCTCTGAGAACCTCCTGTGGTGTGGATGGACTGTCAAGGTCACATCGTCAGTGCCATCCACTAGGGGGCGACAGTGAGCATTCCGCATTTTGGGTAGTATTGAATCTGCTGCCCTCCCCACATTCCCAGGAGAAACTGTCGGAGGAAACTCAGAAGCAGAAGGAGAGCTTGGAAGAGGCCAGACCAGCAGAGGAGCCTAACATGCACGGCGATACTAATGGCGCAGACGAGAGCAGCGAGCAGACCAGGCTTCTCCTGGAGCGCCTTCAGGTCCTGGAGGTAACCAAGCAACCGTTTCTTCTCCTTGCTCTCTTTCTGCCTGCCTGTCTGTCTCCCTGCACATTGTCTGGACAGCAAATCCAATCACCCCACGTTCCTCCAGTGTCAAAGCAGAGCACGGTGTTAAAGACCCTTGATGTCATCATCTAGAGACACAGTCCTGGGCTTCGGGGGACCACGCCATTCCCCCATGGCTTAAATTTCAGCCACACAGGCAAATAAATTATCCCCATGTCAGAAACACAGTAAAAGTCATTATTGCTGATTCAGTCTTGATGTAGACACCACTTGCTCAGGTCTTGGACAACATTAACTCCAGCTTAAATCAATTTGAGGTTCAAAACCAATTACGGAAAGGTTTCTGGCTAGTCAAATATCAATTACTTAGCGCGAGCCAATGCAACTGCATCGCTTTAGAACGGGACAGCAGGAAGAGTATGTGTCTTTCTATGGGTCGCTATGATGCTGAGTGACAGCAGGTGGCCTCGTGGCTCAAGCTGTGGGCTCCTGACCTGATCTCTTCCACCTCGTATCCCAGTGGAGGTCTTGCCGTGACATCCTCAGGATAGCTACCTAACCTCGGGCTGCTCCAAGAGCCATAAACAAACGGCACAAAGTGTACGATACTACACTGTTAATGGGTGAACATGATAAGATGCTTGCAGTTTTCGCACCTGAACTGAAAATGCAATGACAGCCAAGCCATTAATGAGAAGAGAAGCTTCCGGTGAATTTTCGGCAAGAAATCATCACGTTCTAGTGGATGAAAGCAAACTGCTCAGGGGAGGGGGGTCACAGCTCATCAGGCTGTCTGCTGGTTTGCCATTGATCCATAGCAGAGTCCCAAGACACATGAGAAGACATTAACCTAAACTCCAGCCAAAAGTAATTACAGCACGACGCTGCTAGTTACAGGTTATGACTTTTCTCTGTAGTCAATGTTATCTGATGGTGCGGCATCCCATAACTCATCACACAGACATATTCTTCTAAGCCTTCATGCTAGAGTGCATCAAAGTGAACGCCACAGGTTATCTGCAGCCCAAGTCTGTCTTTTCTCATCAATGAAGCACTGTCTTCATAGAGGCTCCTAAGGCACATCAGGCGGGCTTCTTGTGGAGAGCGTGATTCAGTTGTCATGTGGAGATACGTCTTAGCCAAGTGATGAACGCTTCGTTCAAACTTATGGCCGCTCTGATCCCTCTGGGTGCTGCAGAGCGGAGTAGGATTGTGCATTGCAAACCTTCGCAGTCTAAACCTGCCGGGCAGATCTGAACCCAAAAAATGGGCAATACAGATACAAGGAAAGGCTGATTGGCTGATTCAAACCACAAACCCAAGTAAAGGCTGATTGGCTGGCTGATTTCAACCACAAGGCCATGGAAAGGCTCATTGGCTGATTCAGACCACAAACCCAAGGAAAGGCGGATTGGCTGATTCAAACCACAAACCCAAGGAACAGCTTATTGGCTGATTCAAGCCCCAAACCCAAGGAACAGCTTATTGGCTGATTCAAGCTCCAAACCCAAGGAACAGCTTATTGGCTGATTCAAGCTCCAAACCCAAGGAACAGCTTATTGGCTAATTCAAGCCCCAAACCCAAGGAACAGCTTATTGGCTGATTCATGACAGTGGCCAGTTTTCCAAGTGGGCCCCTCAGAAGGGCACATCTCTCTCCTCATCCCAGTGTTTCCCTCCGCAGTTCACTTCGTTAATATGGAATCAGCTGCCTGCCTCACCATGGAGAATGATCTTCACCTCTAGGTTCACTTCATTAACTTTATTAAATCTAGTACATGATTTTCATTACCATAAAAAGTCTAAAATCTCAGAGGATTCTTTCTGGCTGATTCTTCATGGAAAGTTTATTGTAGAATGTTGAAGAAAGCCTTCTGCTTTATGAAAAAGCATGTTGATTATCCGTAAAAGAAAGCCGTGGAAAATGGTACATAATGAAGTGGATAATTTTGGAGAACAAGAAAGAGCATGTGTGCGATTTGGACCCATCAGTCCTGATATCTGCGGCTACCAGCCAAGGCAGGCATGTCATTCATAGGCAGGATGGTTCACTGCAGGTTCTGTATGACTCATGTCTCCATGCATCATAATCCGGTGCTGGAGTCATTAATGTCCTGTCACAGACGGCTTTCTGCAAAATGAAAGTGTGCTCATTCTCGGTCCACATGCGTCTCTAGCAAACCTGTTATGTGCACATAGCGTTTGAGCCCCTCTGCAGGTCAGGTGAGGTCAGCCAGCACACATCGACAGGATCGGCTTTTATCCTCTCCGGCTTCAGCCTGGAGCTCCATCGGTAATTGATTTGTTAGAGTCGGAAGTAGATGATGAAGTGAACGGTGAAATTATTCAGGAGAGTTTGTGAAGGAACCAGCCAGGAACAGGCCGGGTATGCTGTCACACATAATGACAGGTCACTTAATAAGCCTCATCCTCAGAATGACTGCTGAAATACTTACCAAAACAAACACCTGCTCATGAAAGTTTACACCCCTTATACAGTAGAGGAGTGGCTTTGACTTTTTAATGATGTTTTAAGAAAGGCAGTTCTGGACTGAGACCTGGATTCATCCTTGGCTTGTGTAGGAGCCGGATCATCTCTGCCCCTCGTACATGAGCGCCTCATTGAGTGGCGATGAAGGAGCGTCTTTCCTTTCCTGCTCGTCGCTCGTCTGCTTTCCCCAGACACCTCCATCCGCCACAGTTCAGGAATTCTGCCTCACACATCTAGCAGAAGCACAGAGTATTGACTCTGGCGTCTGCCCATCACCGAGACCAGCCCAGCGTAAAAATAATGAGTCCAGAAAAAGGGGTTTCTGCTGCAGGGGGAGCAGGCTGGGCGGAGCTCTATGGGAGCAGACTTGGCGGAACACTAGGGGAAGAGGCTGGCCGGAGCACTAGGGGTCGGAGCTGGGTGGAGCACAAGGGGAGCAGACTGGGCGGAGCTTTAAGAGAACAGACTGGGCGGAGCTTTAAGAGAACAGACTGGGCGGAGCTTTAAGAGAACAGACTGGGCTGAGCTTTGGGGGAAATGGCTGGCTATTAGGTTGAGGAGTAGAGCATGGCATGTAAGCATCAGTCACAAAAACAGAGACCAAAGTATTCCAACGAGCAGAGCAGTTTAAACACAACAAACCCATAAAGAAAAATGCCTGTTGATAGGCACAGGAGAGAAATGCCATCGACTGCTGCCAGCATTCATACTGTGTTCCTGTCCGTCCGTGACAGACCTGCGTGTCTCTTATATAACAGCGTGTTGGTGAGAAGGTGGCCGGTCCCTGAGGAAGCAGAGACCATATCTACCGCACTGAAGGATCTGCAGCAATCTCTCCCCCCCCACCTTGTTAATCAGCTGAGGCAGATTTTTAGTGTGACACTCCTTCTTTATTCTGACCAGTCACTCTGTGTGTGCACTTCTAAATGAGAGAATGCACATTTTGTTCCCCTGCAGGCAGAGAACTCCGCCCTGGCCCTGGAGAACAAGAGCCAGAGGAAGCAGTACGAGCGTTGTTTGGATGAGGTGAGACCCTGCCGGTGGGGTTACACGGGAACTCAAAATCGGCCATGGACTTTGGGGTCTCTGGTGAGGGATTTTTCCAAACGGGGGGCCGGTGTGTCAGCCGTCCAGGCATATACCTGCAGACGACATCATGGATCCACAGCTCTGAATGGTGCCTTTAAAGGCGATTTGCCCCGCCCATCACACGTTTTCAATAGTGGATCAAAAACAATGATATTTTACAAAGATATGTGGGGGGGCCTCGTGAATCCCCCTGTGGGGCTGTCTGGGGGCCAGTCGAGGGAATACATTGTCCATAGATTGGCCTGGTCATGCCCAAATAACATTTGTAAGCCATGCGATATAGATCAGATCAAGCACTGTTTTCCACCATTTTACTGTTTTGTGTTCTTGTGTCTTTGCTTCTTCTTGTACAGTGGAACTCTATGTGGTGCAAATTATAAATTATTTTTATTTTTGTAGGTAGCCAATCAGGTTGTGCAAGCCCTCCTCACTCAGAAGGTCTGTTTCTGGAATCAACTTATTTCCTCCTCTTAGCACGAGATTTGTTTAAACCATGTGGTTTGCAAAGCAAAGCCTCTGTATGGTTTCTTCATTATGATTACACACATTTATTAAATGTGCCATTGGCTTATGACCATGCCTTTAATATCTCACACCATACTTTTATTATATGACACTATACTTTATCGTCGATGGATCATGCCTTTAAAATTTTAAGCAATGCCTTTAATATCTCACACCAGACTTTCATTTTATGACACCATACTTTTTATTATTGATGACCATCCCTTTAAGAAGCCCATATTTCTGACCCCGTCCCTCTTGACTTCCAGGACCTCAGGGAAGAGTGCCTGCAGCTGCGGACACGGGTGTTTGACCTGGAGCAGCAGAACCGCACCCTCAGCGCCCTCTTCCAGCAGCGGCTGCGCCCTGCCTCCGATCTGCTCTTCCAGGTACGTGCCCCCCCACCACCACCAATGCCCTGACCCAGGTACATGCCCCCCCCACCACCACCACCAATGCCCTGACCCAGGTACAGGCACCGTTCCCACTGTCTTTCAGGATGTTTTAATTCCCTAAATGCGACCCTGAGTTGTTTCTTGAACGATTCCGGGTGATCAGAGAGTGCTGCTCTAAAAACCCTTAGATTCTGACCAGTTATTAAGCCCCACACCAGTTAAAGGTTGAGTAATTAGCTGTTAGCTCCTGTATACACTATATGGACAAAAGTATTGGGACACCTGGCCATTACACCTACAGGAACTTTTATGACATCCCATTCTAAGGCATCAGTGTGGAGTTGACGCTATAACAGCTGCCACTCTTCTGGAAAGACCTTCCAAAAATTTATGGAGTGTGTCTGTGCGATTTTTTGCCCATTCCTCCTGAAGAGCATTTGTGAGGTCAGGCACTGATGCTGGACATGAAGGCCTGGCTCCCAGTTCCCATTCTAGTTCATCCCAAAGGTGTTTGATGGGTTGAGGTCAGATCTCTGTGCAGACCAGTCAAATTCTTCCACTCCAAACTCACCCAACTGTGTCTTTAGGGTCCTTGCTTTGTGCACTGGGGCACAGTCAGGCTGGAACAGAGAAGGGCCTCCCCAAACTGTCCCCACAAAGTTGGAAGCATAGAATTGTCCAAAATGTCTTGGTATGAAGCATTAAGAGTTCCCTCCACTGGGAACTTGGGGGTCTAGCCCAACATCTGAAAAACAACCCCACACCATTATCCCTCCTCAAAAACCTTACAGGTAGCACAATGCAGTCAGGCAGGTAACGCTCTCCCAGCATCTGCCAAACCCAGAGTCGTCCATCAGACTGCCAGACAGAGAAGTTTGATTTTGTCTCTCCCCAGAACACGTTGTCACTGCTCCAGAATCCAGTGATGCCGCCCAGTTTCGGTGCTGGGGTTAGTGCCAGAGGAGGTTTGCAACTCTGTTGAGCCTGAGCGTTGACGATTTGTACTCACGGTGCGCCTCAGCACTTGGCAACCACACTCTGTTCCTTTACATGTTCTGCCACTTCATGCCTGAGTTTCTCTTGTTCCTAAATGCTTCCACTTTGCAATAATACCGCTTGCAGTTGACCGTAGGAAATCCAGCAAGGAAGAAATTTCACAAATTCACTTATTGAAAAGGCGAAATTCTATGACAGTATAGTGCTTGAATTCACTGAGCTCATTCAATGACCCATTCTTTCAGAAATGTTTATAAACCTGACTGCATGGCAGGGTGCTTGATTTTATACACCTGTGGCAATGGGTCTGAATGAAACCTGAATTCAATGATTGAGAGGTGTGTCCCAATACTTTTCTCCTTATAGTGTATGTCAGGGCCATGTGATTTTGAGTCTCTGCATCCTGGTTCTCGCTGTGACATGCGGTACGTGGCTGATGAGGTGCCGGAGGGGCAGGAATGTGACAGCCCCCCCCCCCCCCCCCCGTCTCCTGGCACTCTGCCTATGATGACCCCCTTCCCTTTGACGGCAGTCTGGGCCCTGGTACCATGGCACCAGAACGCCACAGCTTACATTCGCCGCCGTTTCTGATCTCCCCCAAAGACACAGAGCGGCTCGGTTACTACGGCTACAAGCTGCAGCCCTGTGGTGCCGGAGACGGAGAACTTTCCTAAGCACAGTGATCGGTGGGGCTTTAGCATGACTGTTATAACAGGATGTGAGGGTGGCTCGCCGTCACTGCCACAAAGCGGGGACATGCATGGGAAACGGTGATGCATGCTTTTTGTGGCAATGCGTGGTGTCTGCCACGGCGAATGATGTCTGCTCTGATTCCTGGCATCCGCCGTGATGCCCGGGATCTGTCATGATGCGTGATGATCCTACGCGATTCGTGGAATCTACCGTGATGAGTGGGATCCTCCGTGATGTGTGGGATCTGTCGTGATGCGTGGAATGCTCCGGGATGTGTGGGATCTGTCCTGATGCGTTGTGTTCTCCGGGATGTGTGGGATCTGTCGTGATGCACGGTGTCCTGCATGATGCGTGATAGCCTCCTGGATGCATGGTATTCTTCATGTGTGGCCTCTACCATGATGTCAAGTGTCTTCTACAATATGCAGTGTCTGCTGTGATTTGTGGTAGGCTAGGTTTGACCTTATTAGGGGACAGCCCCCCCCCCCTTGGATTACTGGAGTGGGCGGAGTCTGTCCTGGGTTGCCAGATGAGCTGTGTCACAGACATGGTGGGGCATGGTGGGAATTTGCAATGCAGGCCCTGGAAGCCATCCGTCGTGACTCCTCTGAGGAATGACCAAGTATGGATTTCAGCAACAGATCGTTGTGTCACGCTGACATGTCAGAAGGAACGGCCACACAAGAGAAATTGATTATTAATGCGTGTTTACTTTTTATCTGTCCAAATAAAATATAGCCTGTATAATGAAAGCAACAGGAAGTCTCCTCGTGGGATTTTATCACATTTTAAACTATTACCCAGGGTAACAATGCGTGTAAGAGCTGTCATTACACTCTCGAGTTACGATCTCGGATCGCCGCTCTCCTGGACGTGCGTGGGAGCCCCCCTCACAGTGCTGCTTTTCCGGTGTGAGATCTCGTGAAAATGTGTCTGCCGTCCTGCCCTGTGTGAAGAAGAGTGAGCAGATCACGACGAGAGAAAGCGAGCTTTAATTTAATATTGACACGCCAGAGATTTAATGTGTCGTTTCATGCTATAACTTCATCCGCCCCGCCATTAAACAATTAGAAAATGATCGATACCAGCGAGGCGTCGGAGCAAACGATTGCCCAGAAGACCTTCTCTGCCGGCTTTATTCCCTGAAGCCACGACAGAAACAGTGGTTGCAGAAGTGTGTTTCTCACACTGTCATTAATTTTACTGAGAGCCCATAACTGTGCTTTCAAGATTAATGATTCTGACAATATTCCAATTTCAAGGATTGGGCCTCTGTAGAGATCGGGAGAGATCCAGGGCCCCGGGAATGGCAGAGAAGTATTAACTGGAGCAGATAATCAGTGTGAGACTGTAGCTTAGGTGTGTATTACACCCCCGCTACTATAACCATCATTAGAACTGGTACGTGTTCATTATCGAAAAAGCAGTTTGATTATATAGAAGCTGAATATAACATGCCATCATAGTACAATTTCTTCGGTGTCTGATTTCGACAGTATCACCATACCGTGTTACTGTAAAAGCATTAATTACCTTATTGAGTGTCTCCAGATCTCTTAAAAGGCCCCACGTTCTGTCAGGACTTTCACATCGCGGCCGCCTCGCTAATCAAGCTAATTGTCATCAAGGACGTTCGCAATCTGCGAGGGGCAATCGCGACACTGCAGAGGGATGCCGTCCAGCGGTACGTGCAGCGCCGCATTTCTGCATTCCTTCTCTTGGCACCCCCCCCAGAATATTTATGTATAGGCGCATCCCACCTAAGGTATATTGATTTTGGGGAGGCACATGAGGGAAAACTAGATTGGGGGGGGGGCGAGGCTAGGGAGGAATTACAGTAATACTGTACCATGATATTAATGGTAATTTGGCTGCCCCAAGCGGGAAGTGCCAGAATAGCATTGCTTTTTTAAAGAAATGTCAAAATACCGTATTCCACGGTATAATGGTGGTGTTAGAAATTGTAATCCACCGCAGCTGAGTGCTGGCCAGGGGCGGAGCGCTGACAGCAGGATTTGTCAACTGGGGGTGCTGGCACTTAAATTTAACGACCGGGACTAGAGGGTGGTGGTAGAATTTGCCGACTGGGCGGGGTCGTGCCGGCTAAATGTGCCACCGGTAAATAGCAGAGCATCACATTTCTGGCACATCGGGCATTTTTCGTGGCCGTCGGGGAGCTGTTGTCAGCTTATGGGCGACTCCCGCAACTTCCAGCAGAGTTGGGATGTCTGGGCGAGATGCACATTTCGAGTTTCGCTTCAGAATGGTAGCAGTCGGTCAAACTGAGAACCTCCAGCAGAAAGCAATTAACTTGGAATGATATTTTTAAAAAGCCACGTGATACCCATAAACCCAAGTAATGTGAGCAACATAACCGTTTCATTGTTTTTAAAATGTGTTTCAGCATTAATTGTTAATTAGGAGTCGCAAGCATTAGAGTATTATTGTTGCCTGATGATTCCACATTGCACATGCTAGCCATTTAGCTATGTTGATGCTCCCCAATGGGATTAAATGTTTCTACCATACATCCTCACCTTCAGAAAGTTTTGCCAGAATGCACTTGAGATGGGGCTGAAGGAACAGTTTGTGTTGTTCTGCCATAACTGTAAGGCCACGAACTGGGTCAGTGCCAGCTGGCTCAAGCTTCCAGGTCATTATAGACTTTAGCACTTTCATGCCATCCCTACTGCCTCGTGGGAACCTTCCGGAATTTCTTAGAAAGCCGCCTTGCCCAATGAAATGCAGCTGAGTGCAGTTTAGACGCCTTCAGTGGCGTCGGTTGGCAACATGTACACGGGGGAGCGTTGGGGGGGGGGGGACGTGGGGGGCATTCCCATGCTCCACACCTCGGTGGAACTTTTTCAGCAATTATGGCAGCATCCTGAAGCCATTCTGTGTTTCTCCTCCTGTCCTGGACATCATGGGATGCCAAGCGTTTTCCACTACAATTTTAAGCCTCCCATCTACATTCAAAATCACCCCCCCGGTTCTGGGAAACTCTTATTTTGCTATAAATCAGAGTTCAATCCAAAGTATTCTCAGGTAAGACAAGGAGAAAATTGGATTAGCAGCATGAGGAGTCTGAGAAAAGTTGAAAGTGCGGAGTTTCCCTGCGTATTCTCCATTCAGATGAGACACCGTCCGTCCTGTGTGAACCCTACGAGTGACAATGGAGAGACTCACTCTCATTTCCGGGAGCTTTTCCTCAGAGACTGACACTTCCCTAATAGTCTGTCTTTTGTTTTTAATGGACAGACATTGGACAGGTAATTTACGTTTGTTGTCCACAGAGTCATTTAGGC